ATATATATATATATAATATATTTACTATAAAATAATATTATTAATAACAATAAAAAATACAAATATAAAATATATATTTAGACTTTTTATATATGTATTTTTAATAATTTCATTCATTTCAACAAATTTACTGACACGCACACAACTAGGAAACTTTGGGCTTAAAGAAAAGTAAAAAAAAAAATGTGGTTGCGTTCATGTGCATTCAGCTTGTAAATGATCTTTTTGACAGCTTGAACACACCATATGACGCAATCAGTCATGTAACATGAAATCACACTGCCTTCACCTTCTGCAGTCTCATCCTCATTGTAATCAAACACACCCTACATGCATTAATACTGCAAACAGCGAAATATACTCACAGTCCACTTCCGGAGTTTTTCCCACAATGCCTGGAACTCTGTCAAGTCGAGTCGTCCCATTCCTTGACTCTGATTGGAGCTGTTAAGGTGACATTCCAATCTCCACCCAATCTTATACATTCTTGTGAAATGCACCATAAAATACCACACCCACCCACATCCACCTGCAGCTACTGAGATTAAGACATCCGCTATGAAATACTAGCATATATACCGTATAACGCACAGCATAATATTCTTAGCATAACATTTTATAACAATTTAAAGTAACTGTTTTCTAGTGTAATATATTGTAAAATGTAATTTAGCTCTGTGATCAAATCTGAATTTTCAGCATCATTACTCCAGTCTTCAGTGTCACATGATCTTCAGAAATCATTCTAATATGCTGATTTGCTGCTCAAGAAAACCTTTTTAAAAATTTTAATGATTTTAAACTTTTTTTGTTCAAAAAATATCAGGAAAGAGATGTAAACATTCAAAATTGATAATAATGTTAGAAGATTCATCACACTAGAAATGCAGGATCGAGTTTATCACACTAGTTTTATACAGCAGAATTTATGCCATCTATGCAAACAGAAAATCTGCATTCTGTGCAAAGTATTCATACTGCATACAGGAGAAATTGTAAGAGTAATTCAGACATGGTTTTATGCATTTTGACGTTGACAGTATGTTGACGTTTTTTTTTTTAAAAAGACAGTATAAGTCATTATAATCCGTAATTATGTCCCCACTGGATGCAACAAATGCCTCGTTTGTAATGGGTTTTATTGGTTTTGTCTCGACTAGTGATGTCCGGATCGCGAATGAATCGCTCTATTTAACCGGATCTTCTTAGTGAACCGGTCGAACCAGTTCACCAAATCGAACTGAATCGTTTGAAACGGTTCGCGTCTCCAGTACACACTAATTAACAAATTACTTAAGTTATTCGGTTTATAAACGTGCCTGACATTCCCTCTGACGCGAAATAAACCAATATCCCGAGTTATTCAGTTACTCCTAACAGTACATTGACTGAACTGCTAAAAGAGAGATGAGCTTTGTAAAAATTGACGCGTTTCAGAAAGGCGGGGCATAGAAGAGCAACAATAATGTACATTATATGGAAAATAATGTGTTTTTTTAACCTTAAACCACATAAACACATTTCATTACACCAAATACACAAAATAATGTTCTTTTTAGCAACATCATATGACCCCTTTAAAGATTTACTCATTTATATTCAATCTTTGAACAATATTTAGCGGTTTATCTTGTTCTATTCTGTGTCCATGCACACTAACCAGCGTGTTTGTTAGAAGTGCACTAGCTATGCAGGATACATCCATGAGCACCACAAAGCTCTTGCAGTGCTCCAAACTCAGCTTCTTCTCGCTACCTGCAAAGACTGACCGGGCAGAAAACAGGAAACAGAAACAATATCATCCAACTCACTTCCTCACTGGTAACCGCATTACTTCCTGTATGGTTTTCAACTCTGCAGCAGAACTAATGAAAAGAATCGCATTATAACGGCACAGTGAACACTACTTCTCCTGCAAACCGCATTTTGCATTGAAAGGCAAATGTAGAAAAAAAAAAAGAAGTGAACAGATGAAAAACAGCTTGTGAATAAACACGTTCTCACCTCCTTTTGCAATGGCTTCGGTCAGCAGGTTATAGAGATCCAATGGACTACAATAAGGCCCCTATAGACAACACGTATACAAACACTATGAACATTCACATGCATATGACATTAGAGCTACATATTAGATATAAAAATGCATGCACAAACTCAATAGCACTGTATTGGGCAGCTCAGCATGCAAGTAACATGTTTACCTTCACACAGTGTTTCACAAAGAGATCTCTCGCTTCATTCGCAGACGGCAGACCTGCGAGACGTGGAGACATTGGCTACACACACACACAGAAACAATTAAAAACCAACAATTAAATGGACCCAGTGATAATAAATGATCTAAGCAGTGTAACTAGATCAACTTCTCCATATTACCGGAGTAACTGAGCTCGAGTCTACTCCTCGTGCCTCAACAGCTCTGCAAACACACAAACATATATATATTTTGAAATATATAGTGATTTATTATGTTAAAACAAAGAAAACAAGTCTTTAGATTCATCCCATGTTCTAAGAACGTTTTGCTAATGTTCCCATCAAGTTATGAAAACGTTATTTCTGAATGTGCCCTGAACATTCAAATAGTCCAGGTTTTAAAATGTTTTTAAAACATTCTGCAAACGTTGGGGAAACATTCTATTTTATATTTTTAAACATTATGAGAATGTTACTTTTGAATGTTCTCTGAACATTCCAAAACAAGTAGTTACATTTAAGCGATGTACAAATGTTTTTGTGATAACATTTTGAGAGCATTATTAAACACCAATTCACTTTAAACAAATGTTCTATTAAGGTTCAGGGATGCAAACTCATCATGGGTGAAAAAGGTGACAAAGACAAGCACATCACCCCTCCCCCCCAATAAAATAAAACCCTAAATTTTTTCAACAATTATAATAATTTAAAGCCTTTATTAATATTTTCCAACTTCACTTTAAATGTTCACTTTCAATCATGAAAGAGAGAGGAAAAAAATCGTCTCCTGGTGGAAAACAAACACAAACGCTTTAGATGAAAATGACATGAAATTACCATTATATCCAGTAGATGGCAGCAGAGGTTCACCCATGAGCTCAGTTGCCATTTCCACTCCCTAGGTTTTCTCATGTCTTAATTTTGGATTTATTATAAAATGACTATGAAGTATAGCAAGTTCAGGAAGTCACAAAGTCTCATGTCATTTAAAAATATATAAATAAGCCCAGACAGCCTAGTAGGGTTAATTATTTAAATACTTAACTACGAATTAAGTTAATTATTAATGGTATAATAATTAAATAATGCATTAAATATTTTGGCGCTTTTTTTGATTTAATTTAAAAACTACATTTTTCAAACATTGCCTAAAAAAGGACACATCAAAAGGAGAGCTGTAAGTTATCTTTACCTGTAGAAGCTGCTAAAGGCAACACAGACTTGTTGCTGCTGTAGTTTTGTTACTCTGAATTGACTCTGCATCACTTAAAGCACAGCTCTGTTTTGACATCGGCTTGTCAGTTATCACCGTCAATCGCGGATCAATTTGGCGCGTCATTATTTACACTCGTGTTTGTCATTCCTGAAACAGTATACATGGACGGTTTGGTCCTCTTACACTTTTCTTCAAACTGTGAATGAAGTAAAAACCGAGCAAAGACTTCCCTTACATCGTGTATGCTTTCTTTATGTCTTGTTAGGAAGATTAGTGAGCGTGTAGAACTACGCAAACTTGTGAAAACCAAAATTAGATCAGAGCGGATTCTGACTAACCTACAGTAAACACTTCTGATTGGCCACTGCGTTCAACAGAGATGCCTGTGATTGGCTACAATACTCAACGCTGCAAGACACGTTGTAAATAGAAACTTTTGGCTTTGCAATTCGAAACCAGAGCGCGTGCACAAAAACACACAGGAGCGTTTGAAAGCGGATGACTCCCCCCTCCCCCCTCCCCCCTCTTCGGATCTACACAAATCTCGTAGGTGAACTATTTCGATCTCAAAAAGGTGAATTTTCACCGAAAGGTGATGAGTTTGCATCTATGAAGGTTACTGGAAGAATGATTGTTCATAAATTTGAAAGAACCTTGACAGAATGTTCTGGGAACGTTCCATGTTAGCTGGGATTTTACCTCCAAAAATAAAGAGAATTTTTGGAGTTCTCAGTTTTTTACTTTGTCTCACATATTTCTCCAAAATCTCATTATGGGAAATGAAAACAGACACAAATAAGTCCGTAGTTGTTGAACAGAAAGAGTGTATGGTGAAACATTAATGTGGATAGCAGCACAGCAGTGCTGAAATAAAATAACATTTAAACACTAGACTAAAAAACAAAAACTTAAAAAACTTTTTAAAAGCAAAAATTTGAAATGCTGCATTGGCAACTAACTGAAATATAATAGGTTTAAGTTGGAAAAAAAAAAAAAAAGTAATATTAAGAAAAAAACTAATACAAAAGATAAAAGTATATTCTAAAACTTCGAAAAAATCGAAAATACAAAAATAAAAGCTAATTCAAAATATTAATGTTGAATAATAATAATTTTAAGATGAATTAAATTAAAATTAGAAGAGAAAAACATAGTATTGTTAATTAAAATGAACAAATATTCATTTTAATATTACAATACTTTAGTAGTTTATAAATAATACTAAAATAACACTGCAGCTCAGATCATTTGCTCTTGGCAGAAAGAGTTTCATATCCGGTTTTCAGATATTTGATTGCAGCCTTTCCATCTTTGCAAATCTAAGCAAAGTCTGAGACAATATTACTTGTGCGCATTAGGTTTCTGGATCTGTTTCTCAGAATAAACACCCAAGATTTGCTCTAGATGTAATCCCATTGCTGTCAAATGAGATTTTAAACAGATCTCATTTGTGATTTTCTTGCATGTGGGTGAGCATCACTTACATGGTTTTGTTTCCTTTCTCGGTCAGGACTCTCAGGAGGAATTCTCCCACCTGATTGGCCTCTGAAGTGCTGGGAATGATGATGTAATGACCGGGCGCCAGGCGACCGCGAAACACCAGCTCTCGCCGCGAGACATAACCAAGGTCTTTAGTGGTGCTGAGCACCAGGCTCAACTGAGAACTGTCCCGAGAGGAGAGGAAATCAGGCTCGGATCGGGCCTGATCACACACACAAACATCAGACAGAGACACACAGTCACACTAATATACTCAGAAACTCTCGATTTTCTTTTTATTCTCTTTTTCTTTTCTTTTTATATAATATGTAATATATAAGAAAAAATGTTATGTGTTTTATATAATACAATATTATATATTATATTGCTTCCTGTAAGCATTACAAACATATAAAATATAATATATTATATAATGCAGTAAGTATTTTTTCCTTACAGTACAATAATAATAAACAATAAATAATATATAATAAAGAGACTACTTCTTCCTTCAAAGCAGGGTAATTATATTTAACTCAAATGTTTGTTACTTCGTTAACTGAAATAAAATATAATATAAAAAATTATATATTATATATATATAAAAAATATTAATATAGTATATAATACAATGACTAGTTATTCATTCAAAGCAGGGTAATTATAGTTAACTAAAACCATAAAAAAAATTGTTACTTTAAATAACAAAAAAAAATGTCGATTGAAATAAAATTTAATATTAAAAAAATATTTATTTTATAAATAATATATAATAAATCATATTTAACACACTATATAATACAATGATTAGTTCTTCCTTCAACGCAGGGTAATCATAGCTAACTAAAATTAAAACCATAAAATATTCCTTTATTTTACTAAAAGTGAACTGAAATAAAATATACTATAAAAATGTAACTTATTTTATTTTAGCTAGTTGCCAAGGCATCATTTCTCATTTTCATTTAGTTTAACTTTATGTACTATAATAACTAAATCTGAAATGTAAAAAATGTAAATAAAAATTAATTTAAAGAATTTACAAAAATGACAAAAACACATAAGGACTTTTAATCAAATTTAAATTAAAGCGGAAAAACTCATTCAAAATATGAATAAAAACTATAATAGTATCTCAATGGTACTAAAACAACATTGCTTAGAAGTGTTGATTATAGCAGTCTGGAAACTTCCCAGCGGATTGATATAAAGTTGTGCACGGAAAAGTGCGTAAAGGCAACCAGTCAGACTGCAGCTTTCATGTCCGACAATACACACTTGAAACACTTGTGCGAAACCTTGTATATGTGCAGCGCCACGGGGAACAGCATTCCTCTCTGACGAGCGCATTTCTGCATGAGCGCCAGCAGGAATGAGCACGTTAGTTCAGGGTCACTGGGGTCGTCGTCCTCTTCCAGCAGGGTCACACTGTACTGAGGAGGCCCTGCAAACACAAACATGTGAATATCATACAGTGACCAGTTCTTCTTTTGAAGCAGTAGAATATTTGTGTATGTGTGTGAACAGTGATGCTCATGTACCTTGCTGAGGAATCCATCGTCCATGATGCGATGTACATTTCCAGGGCTTTATGTTTCCGCTCTCACTCAGCGTGTCTTCGCTCTGGTGACAAACCTCCATCGTCTCAAAGTTCTGGCAGAAATCGACCAGAGACATCCTGATGGGAAGAGAGAGAAGATGATGAAGCTGCGCCAGCCATCTAAACCAATCAGAGCAGAGCCTGAATATGAATCAGCCAATCAGCAAAGAGAGAAAACTGACTCACCAGAATTCCCCGTCTTCTTGCTGGATTCTCTGTACACGCTGCTGCTCTTCAGTGCTCACCATATTCCACTCGATTCTAAACACACACATTACACAAATAAATACACTCAAATACGCACTTGGCCAAAAATTTTCTTGTCAAAACAAAGAAATATCATGGACTTCAATATAAAGCAAATTAGAATGACTACAGGCTAGCCTAAAACCTAAAAGAAGACTTTTTTAATAATAATAATAAACACTGTTTACTTCATTTATGAATTATTGAGAGATTTTGTCATATTTAGCTCAATTCTAAGGATAGTTCTGTTAAACTACAGATAAATAAACATATACAAATACAGTATATATATTCAGCAAGGATGCATTAAATCAATTAAAAGTGACAGTAAAGACATTTATAATGTTAAAAAAAAATATTTCTATTTCAAAAAATGCAGTTCTTTTGAACTTTCTATTCATCAAAGAATCCTGAAAAATTAAACATATCATGGTTTCCACAAAAAATATTCGTTTTCAACATTGATAATAATCAGAAATGTTTCTCGAGCAGCAAATCAGCATATTAGAATGATTTCTGAAGATCATGTGACACTGAAGACTGGAGTAATGATGCTGAAAATTCAGCTTTGAACCACAGAAATAAATTATATTTAATTATATAATACAATAAAAACCATTTACTTTAAACTGATTGTTATATTACTGTTTTACTGTATTTTCGTAAGTGTTTCGTACCCTTTTTTGTCACTCCAAGGCCCCTCCCACTCAGCTTTACCCCACGGGTTCCTGATCCGCACCAGCTCAACTGAACCGACCGTAGTCTTGATCTGAAACACACATAAAGCAAGCTCAGTCTGAAGAGCAGTGATGTCTCTTCCAGCTGTTTGAGGTGTAGTCTGACCTCGTGGCCTTTAGAGGGCGCTGCGCACACACAAAAACATTTCAGCTACTGCTTACATCTATACTACATACTGCTAAATATTGTGTATATAATACATAGACCTACCTTAAATGCCTGAAAAAGTTTGTAATATTTAAACATTTCTGTTTCAGCAAAAAAAGAAAAAAAAGACAGATATTTGGGATGTCTTATATTTTCTTGTAAAAAAAAGTTTGTGAAACCAAATCCAATAGTTTTCTAATTAAAGGGGTCATATGATGCGATTTAAATTTTTCCTTTCTCTTTGGAGTGTTACAAGCTCTTGGTGCATAAAGAAGATCTGTAAAGTTGCAAAGACTAAAGTCTCAAATCCAAAGAGATATTCTTTATAAAAGTTAGTCACTTTGTTAACATTTTTTTAAAAATTTTGAAATTATGAAATTTTGCTAAATTCAAGCAACTTTTGGGAGCGTGATGAATAATATTCAGCATATGGCTTTTAAAAGTCAATTATTAATACTCAGTAATATTGTCAGTTTAACTGCACTGACAGTATGGGGTGAGAACTAAATTTGAACTAAATTGAGTTGAATAATGACAGTATCATCTTCTGTGGAGCTGCTTTACAGCTCAAATTGAATTTGCTTCAGATTTGCTGAACTTCACAAAATGAACATTGAATATATTTTTATGTTTATTACAGTAAAACCTCTTTGAAACAATCTGCATTGTATAAAGTGCTATATAATAAATACTTGTGAAATATCTTTTTTTATGGAATATTTTATTTTTGGAACATTTTAGTTGGACGTTCATCTAACGTTTTTAAATACTTTCTCAAAACTAACATTCCCATAATGTTTGCAAAATTATAAAATGGACTGTTCCCTTAACATTCAAAAAAATGTTCCCTTATCAAAAAAAAAATAAAAAGTTTTAGAACTTTGGCTAACGTTCTGCAAGATTCTCTCAAAGTTATCAGCAAACATTCTTAGCATTAATAGAACATTAATTTGTGATTATAATGTTATTTAAAGCTTACAAAAACACTTCTTATAAAAAGTTCTACTAACTTTATTTTCACCCAAAATATAATGTTACTGGAACATTTATTTTTAATATTCTAAGAACATTAAAAAGTCCAGCTTTCTGGTTGTGATTAGAATGTTATTGAAATGTTACCAAAACAAACGTTCATCTAGTACAAATAACATCATGAGGACGTTCAGAGAATGTTGTTCTAAGAACAAGAGTACGTATATCAAATAATAATAAAGTTATAAGAACATTCCATAAACATTACTTTAAGAAAGTTTTGTCCTAACATTTTTTAAAAACTCTGTTAGCTGGATACTTGTTTCAGAAAGTTCAGATAACATTCAAAAGTAACTTTTCCATAATGTTTGCAAAATGATCAAATGGAATGTTCCTCTAACTTTTACATAAGCAAGAAAAAATGTTTCAGAGAACATTCAGAAATAACGTTTTCATAACTTAAAGGGAACGTTAGCTAAATGTTCTCAGAACATTATTTTTTTTGTCAGCTGGGAGGATCTTTTATCATATAGTATGATCTTGATGAGCAGGAGAGACTTCTTTCAGAAACATTCAAAAATCTTACCGACCCCAAACTTCTGAATGAACTGACAAACAGCGTGGAGGGGATTTCACATGATTAAAAAAAACTGCAATTTCAGTCTGTTTCACATACAAAGCACTGCTTCAGAAGACTTCAAATACTACATGTATAATACTTTATTGGAGCTTACATTTCTACCGAATTTAGAGCTTTACAGCCCCAGTCCCCATTCACTTTCATTATATGAAAAAGAGCAGCATGAACATTCTACTAAACATCTGCTTTTGTGTTCCACGGAAGTCCATGAGGGTGAATAAATGATGAGAGAATTTTAATTTTTGGGTAAACTATCCGTTTAAATAAGCCATGTAAAGAGAGTGTACCCTTGAGTTAGCACAGTTGATCAGAGCTCCTTTCTGCAGCAGCGGGCGTAGGAAAGAGCCCAGTGTTCGATGGTCAGACGGCATCATGAATTCTTCTGTAACCCCACCTGTCATGTCTGCCATCGCCTCATGAGGGAAACCCATGTTCAGAGCATTATAACCACCCTTCAGCCTGAGAAAGAGATGGAAAAGACAATCTGAACAACAGAAGATTAGCAAAAGCACTTTATGTGCATGCAGACCCTCAGGTCATCCAAGATGTAGATGAGTTTGTTTCTTCATCAGATTTGGAGAAATGTAGCATTACATCACTTGCTCACCAATGGATGCTCTGCAGTGAATGGGTGCCGTCAGAATGAGAGTCCAAACAGCTGATAAAAACATCACAATAATCCACAAGTAATCCACACCACTCCAGTCCATCAGTTCACATCTTGAGAAGCTAAAAGCTGCGTGCTTGTAAGAAACTTTAAACCTTTAAACTTTAAACCATTGCTTCTGGCCAAAAATAATCCACAATAACACTTCCTCCAGTGAAAAAGTCCATCCCTTGTTGTTGTCTCTCACATCAAAAGCCACTGATTCACTGTTTTGGCTTGTAAACGGTGCTTGATCTGTGCAGATTTCTCTCCTGATTCAGATGAGGCGACTTTTTCACTGGAGGAAGCGTTATGGAGGATTATGGACTAGCTGGAAGAGACGTTTAAAGTTAAAATGTCTTAATGATGTATTCGTTTCTTACAAACACGCAGCTTTTGTCTTCTCCAGATGTTAACTGATGGACTGGAGTGTGGATTATTGTGATGTTTTTATCAGCTGTTTGGACTCTCATTCTGACGGCACCCATTCACTGCAGAGCATCCATTGCTGAGACACTGATGCAATGCTACATTTCCCCAAATCTGATGAAGAAACAAACTCATCTACATCTTGGATGGTGTGAATTTTCAGTGAATTTTCATTTTTGGGTGAACCATTCCTTTAAAATGTTTCTAATGTAATGATACTGAGGCATTTTTAAGCATTCAAATATTCCACTAACTTGGCATAAGCTTTCTCCATTAGAGCGCTCCAGAATTCGTCTTTGTTTGAGGAGCGCAGATAGATCAGCTGACCGTTACGCGTCGGCAAGCGGTCATCGACTCGCACCTCAATCCACTCACCATACTGCCAAAACTACAGACAGAGAGACACCATTAAAACCATCACAACCGCTTCATTCTGTACGGTAACACACGGTACTAACCCGAAAATTGAAGCAGCCGTTGTAGCCCTGCTGAAAACCCTGGCCTGAGGGAACGACATGATGCAGAAGACAAGGGTTGAGAGAGAGAGACGCCACCGCAGACAAGAACCAGCAGTCACCTGAGAGAGAGAGAGAGAGAGAGGGAATTAAAGCATGTTACACCTGTTAAAACACGTTTTAGGTCTAATTTGGTTATAAGAGATGATTCTAATGGTATGTGGTGAAATAAGTGTACTCTGCTACACTGGCTCTTATTTGGTTTTACTTCAGGGCTTTCAACATTTAATATTAAATGGAGACCCAACACAAAACAAAAGTAAACACCAGGACATCATGCAACCTGCCCAATTGTGCATTTGTCTAATTTGATGAGCTTTTACCAGATCAATTTGCACCAAAATACTATAGAGTTTAATTGGATGCATGACCTTTGACCTTAAAAACAAAAGAGATACGGGAAGTGTCGCACTGTATTATTTGCATTTAACTTTGTGTGATCCTCAGAACAGACCTGTGATGCACCAGATGAGAACCACTGCTTTGCACCAAACACCAAAGCTATTTGATGCCAGTACATACTGCTTTATGAAGCGCAAACAGTGTGTTATATGAGAACCTGCAAAAACCTGCAGCACCTGTATTATTCTCAGTGTGAACGTTATTGTTTAAATGGTTCAGCATTAAATTCTCACTCAGTTCTCCCTGGCAGATGTCCATACGTGTGGCTCCATCCGCAATAAACACAGGAAACGGACAGATCTCCTGGAAAAGAGTGGAGAAAACACAAAAGGTCATTTTAGCATAAAAGACTTCTTTCAAAAATATGAAAGAACTGAATTATTCCAAAGTCTTGACCGGTAGTGTATATGCTCTAGTGTAAAGACATTAAATATTTGAAACCCATGCAATTATTTAAGGACCTATTATGTATTATTTACCCTAAATTAACTATTACCACTGTTCCTTTGATCAAGAGAATTAGCTCCAGGGCGAGTGATTGTAAAGTGTCTGCTAAATGACTGAATCCTATATAAATCTTACAACAATAAGAGACTCAACAAAACTAATGCTGATGAAGATTGCATTATAAAGTATATGGACACTTAAGTCACAGTTAAACTGCCTAAATGTCATTGCATTAGACCTGTCTTTAACCATTATAAGCTATCAGTATATTTTCTTACTTTTTGACCACAATAATATCAGCATCTGCACCAAATTGCATATTTTGCTCGGTTTAAAATTCAGGTGTTTTCCCTCCATATTCTCACTACTGTTTATAAGCCATGTCTCAAATATGACAGTCAACAACAAAAAAAACACTTAAAAATGTCTAAAGGTTCCATAAATTGTTCCATTTAAAAATATATATATATTTTAGGACTATCGCATATATCAGTTGTTAAAATAAATGACACTATTTAACAGTTTAACTATGACTTATGTGCCCAAATATTATTTTATTTCGTAGTGCATAACTTTATCATCAGTGCTGGGTAGATCACTTACAAATTTTAGTCCGTTACTGATTCCAAACTGCATGACAAATATTGTAGTTAGTTATGTAATCCATTACATTACACATTTCAGGTATAATAATCAGACTACTTTTTGATTACTTTCGCCATAACTTATTTATCGCATTGATTTAAATAGGATAATCTTATACGATATTGATACAAATACAAAGAGAAAGAAAATATAATCCATTAATTGTTATTAACAACATGAGGTGCATTAAACATTGCATTACCTCAAAGTTTCCCAAGCTGGGGTTCGTGAAGGGGGTTTGTGAGTTTATTGAAAAGCTAATAATTAATTGTGTAAATATGTAATCATCACTAAAAAAGTAACTGTAGTCTGATTAGGAGTTGGCAATATAATCTAATTACAAGTACTTCATTTTTGGAACCTGATTACTAATCCAGATTTCATGTCGCCTAATAAATTACTCCCCAGCACTGTTTATAATACAAAGCATTGTATGCAAATACGGTAGATACAATATAATACCAGTCACAGCTGGCATCAAAGAAAAGTTCAGGATGTTTTTTAACATACACCAGTATCGTGTTTGTAGATTGTATGGAATCATGTGGCTCTCTGGAGATGTGTGTTGTTGTCACTTTGGCTCACCTTTGGTCGTTTCCAAACCACGTCGGTCTGAATCGGCATGTTCTGCACCGGGAACCTCGCGTCCGTGTAAAGCCCGTCCTGCAGAGGAAGCCCGGAGGTGGGAGACCACAGGAGCGTCGGGCTGCCCAGACTATCCCAGGGGTTCGAATCGGACGAGTCTGTGCGCGACTGTTTCTTCGTTTCGGACATACTGGAGTGCGTCAAAAACTCAGCCTCGGGGCTCGACTTTATCGCACGCGACTTTTATGCGTCTGAATCTGTCTACGTGTTTAAGAACGAGGGTTTTTTTGATGCACAAATACACCATTCAAGTGATCCCTGATGCCAAAAATGTCAACTAATCGTCGGTCTGTGGTAAAGCGGGCGTAAAGCAGGTCTTCCTCAACTTGCCTTTAACCAGCTCCTCCCTCCTCCACCTGCGCGCTCTCAAACACCGTCAGAAAGAAAACATCTCTCCTCATAAACGACAACCTTTACCACAGTGGAACATGTACGCTACTATAAGTTCATCTTGCAAAAATACCTTTTTTAAAACAAAGGCAAACAATACCGAAGAACAAAAGCACTTCTAGAGAACACACACATTTAAGAGATGCGGAAGATGCCAAGCGTTAAGTTAATAAAACGTTATTTCTCAATGTTCAAAACGTTGTTTTTTTTAAACAAGTTTAAAAAATGTTTATATTAGTTATGTGAAAGTCCGAGAAAACATTAAGGGAACATTCCATTTTATAATTTTGCAAACATTATGGGAATGTTACTTTTGAATGTTCTCTCAACCTTCTAGAATTAATAAGCGTTTAAAAACGTCAGACAAATGTGCGACTAAAATCAGAATAACGTTCCATGAATGGTGTATATAATGTTTTTGTGCTGTTTTAAGAACATAATTAACCCCTTGGCATTCCTGTAAAATTTGCCTAAATGCCTAAAAAAGTCATACCCAAAGTAAACTGCATGCTGTTATTGAACCATTTGGAATATATGCATGGTTTTGGTCTCTTTTGAAAGGTGACACTCTGAGGATTCTTCTGTTTAATCACTGTAAGTCTTACTGGTATTGAGTAATAGAACTTTGAACACACTGAAAAAGGAAAAAACATTCAGCCTATTTTTTATTTTATTTTTTTGTAAGCAGATGCCTGCAGATGACTATAGCTGGGAGCTATTAGCTGGAAAACACACGTTTAGCTTTTTTTCTTTTTGAGTTGTTTTTTGTCACAAAATTAACCCTCAAAAACACACAGTGCAACACTAACAGGTCAAAGACTGCATATCTTTGAATGAACGTTCTATTAATGTTACTGGAAGAATGTTTGTTTATAACTTTAAGGAACCTTGCCAGAACATTAGCCAAAGTTCTGAGAATGTTCTCTGTCATTTACAGTCATTAAAGTTTCTAATTTCAGCCACCATTAATGCAGGTGTGGCAAAAAGTTCACTTTGACCCCACATACAGCCCATCCTTCAGCAAACACACTGCTCTGCATAAGGACTGATATTCCAAAGGTCAGCTCTGTATTGTAGTCTATTGTGACTGATGCAAAGAACTTGATCTGCCAGTAGACCAGAGAATAGAGCTGAAGGATGAATCCCACAAAGCCTGCCTCGGAGCTTGACTTATCGCACATTACTTTTATCCTTCTCAGTCTGTCTGTCAGTGTGTTTATTTGAATGCACAAATACACCATTCCAGTGATCCCTGATGTCAAAAACGTCGATTATTCGTCGGTCCGTGGTAAAGTAGGGGTAAAGTAAAGCAGGTCTTCCATACCTTTAAATGGCTCCTGTTTTTGAAAGAAGTCTCTTCTGCTCACCAAGACTGCATTTATATTTTCAAAAATACAGAAAAGTTTTGGAATATTGTGAAATATTTTTACGGTTTAGAATTACTGTTTTCTATGTGAATGTTTTGTAAAATGTCATTTATTTCTGTGATCAAAGCTGAATTTTCAGCATCATTACTCCAGTCTTCAGTGTCACATGATCTACAGAAATCATTCTAATGTGCTGATTTGCTGCTCAAGAAACATTTATGATTATTATCAATGTTGAAAACAGTTTAGCCTTTTAAAGGGGTCATATGATGCGATTTCAAGTTTTCCTTTCTCTTTGGAGTGTTACAAGCTCTTGGTGCATAAAGAAGATCTGTAAAGTTGCAAAGACTAAAGTCTCAAATCCAGTCCCCACTGGATGCAACAAATGCCTCGTTTATAATGTCTTGTCGCTCCAGCCGGACACGGCATCAACAGTATGGTAAGGGCGTAACATTTCCGTCACACGCTTGAGGTATTTGGCCAATCACAACGCACTGGATAGCTGGCCAATCAGAGCACACCTCGCTTTTCAGACCGATGAGCTTTGTAAAAATCGATGCGTTTCAGAAAGGCGGGGCATAGAGGAGAAACAATAATGTACAGTATGTGGAAAATAATGTGTTTTTTGAACTTTAAACCGCATAAACACATTTCATTACACCAAATACACAACATAATGTTCTTTTTAGCAACATCATACGACCCCTTTAATTATTTTATTTATTTATTTTTTTTGAAAACTTGATGAATAGAAGCATTAATTTCTTTAAAAAATTCTACTGACCCTGAACAGTGGTTTGTGTATTGCATTAGGGAAATGGATAGTACAGAGTCTTTATACTACAAAAACCAGTTTTATTTTGTGCAAAATATATCATTTCTTGTTTTAGTTCTTTTGATTATGGAATGACCAGAACATTTAATGGTGATTAAAATTGATTTAGCATTTTTTTTTTTTTTTGTCAGATGAATTTAGATTACATTTTTTATGCAATAAGTATCAAAAACACAGACTATGCTGTGGTTTAATTAAAAAAGAAAAACTGTTGTCATCAGGTAACATTTAGACCTACCTTTATTTATTTTGTAGACGTTTTTCTCCAAAACAACTTGCAAATGAGGAAGAAAAAGCAATTCACCCTTAGGCAACAGTAACATGAGAAGAGCTGCAATACAGAAGTATGAGTCACAGTCAAACAGCAGAGTCGGGTTTGGTGCAGATTTAATTAGATTGCTCAGTGCGGGAAGGTTTTTTGATTGTATGGATTTATGTATTGCTGTCTTTGTTTTGTAAGACTTATATGATGTATCGTCATTCTAGTTGTTGTTCAATGGTTGTCATTGTTAATTTCTGAGAGATCAGACAAGAAAGTATCATTATATTAAGTGTGATAATGGCATCTGGAATGATATAAAAAAGCATGAGTAAAATCCAGACGTACACAGTGCTGACAAATTAGTTATCTAATGTTACCAAACAAATATTAACATTAATGTCTGTTGCTGTGAAGTCGTTTTTTTCCCTTTTCTCTCTTTGTTGAATTCCATACAATGTATTTAATGGTCTTATAGGAATACATTTGTTTATATTTACCATATTTTCTATGCTTTAATTGTTCTACGCGTGTGCATCATGGATGTGCAACAGTTTAGAAAAGTGCCTGGAAGATCAGTATGCTAAACAGGAATCTGACTATACATTCCTGCGTCTCCTGGACTGATATCATCACGTCAAATGTAAACAGAAGCATGTTCTCACACACACTGCTAGCTGTTTTGCAAATAAACCATTCCAGTGAATGCAGTGACCTTCCGTGAGATGAGCGGGACCTGCTGATCAGAGGATGTTATGTGTTAAATATGCAAATGACACTGTGATGTCACAGGTTAATGGACAGCTATATATGCAGTGAAGATCAAATAAGATATTTTAAACAACACAGCACAATAACAACACTATAGCTGTACAGCCTTATCTTTGACAGAGATCTGCTGTTGTCTTTGATCACTAAACAATGAGACAGCAAAAGACACTTGGGAGACTTAATGACTTTGAGGGTCTTAATAATGTCATCTTATCCTTTAGTGACTGTTGATGCGTAACTTTTAGTGCAAATTCCCATCTGTGCTGTGTAGAAGGAAATAAATGGTACATTTTCTGGAGAAAATGTGAGTGGTGCTTGTAAATGCAAATCCCACAATGCTGGAATCGGTTCAGGTGATGGTCATGCATGCAGTTGTGGGCAACATCTTGCACGTACATGCTGAAGTCTGACAAGTCAAACCCCGTGTTCAATAGATGAATTGGAATAGATTAGAGTTTTCAACTCATGGAACACTGATTTAGCATAAAACACATTAAATACCCATGAAGTTCATAGTCTTTTCCATAAATATTGTAGGGCCTGGGACCTTTCAAAAATGAGGCTTTTCCCACAAATATTCAGTGAAATTAGGGGCTTTGCCTTTAGATGAGGTGCTTCTTATTTTCTATTCATTTTATATGATAAAAAAATAATAAGTGGATCCTGTTGCAAAACACACACACACACACACAACACACATCCAGTCACTCACATAGCAAGCCAAGTAAAAAGCCTTTATTCTAAGACAGGGCTATATATTAAAAATACACCAACGCATATCAGCCCAAGCAGGCCTTCCTCAGAGTGTAAGACAATAGAGAGTAGGAAGTAGCTACTGTAAATAGATTCACCTGCGACTATACATTTTCAGGATCTAACCACTAGATGTCTCTTGAGAGTTCAATGATTTCTCAAACAATCCAAAAAAATAAAAAATAATTTCACATACAACCCAAGAATAGTAAAGTGAAAAATCCAATATACTCACAAACAATTCAAAAATATACAGAAGTATATTTTTTATAAACCTATATACGGATAGATATATCACAATTGAGCAACAACAACAACAAAAAATTTGGTCTTTGTTTATATTATATGATATTTGTATTTTTTTGCAACACTATTACCATAATTTGGGACATGCAAAAATACAGTTTATGTGATTTTGTTCTGAGAATAAACATTAAACATCAGGATTAAAAAGACTCAAATTGAAATGAATAAGGGACATGTTAGCTTAATTTGATGTTAGATAATAGTTTATCTAACATATCAGCTTCTCAAAAACAAGAACATTTGTTTCTCTGATGCTTCATGATAATGTGTGTACAATGTGTGCTATATTTTTTTGGAAAGACCTAATATTTTAACACATACATAATTTGACAAAACGAATAATTTAAATATTTTAGAATAAAATAGTAGGCCTATTACAAATTATAATAGAATAATTGTAAAATACCAACTTTGTTTTTTATTTTTTCTTCACATCTCAAGCTTCAGCTTCTCTAGCACTGTTGTCTCCTTGGAACGACAATTAAATATAATATTGACTTGAAGAAACACAATATTACAGTATTTACGGAAGTTTGACAGCTACAGACTAGAGTATTTAGCGTATTTTTTCTTTATATCGACACTTATTTAATTTAATTTAATTTAATATGATAGGCAATCGAGTTGCTTTTATTTTGAAATATATGGATTGGTATTGGGGTACTATGACGAAGGTTTCTCCAAATATTCATATTTCAAGCCTTCGCCTTTGAAAGGCAAGAACTTATCGTCCGCCTTTAAAAATTAATATTCATGATCAAGGACTTCGCTATTGGAAGGTTGACGAGGAACCTTAGCGCGGCCTACTTAATATTCATAAGCTCTGCCTCTACCGTAGTAGGGAAGAGATGAGCTATCACATGATTATAAACACATGATCACATGACAGAGAATCAGTTCCACTTCAAAATGGCTTTAGGGTGTAATAGGTTTCAGAAAGACTCTGCAGTACTTGCAATAGTTTTGGCGTGTGTTTTATGCGCGCCGTGTGCTGCTCGCTACAGCAGGCCGCACAGATATGAAGCTCAGCTGGAGTCTGCAGCAGCAGCGGAGGAGGAGCAGTGGTTCATCCAGAGACTCGATCACTTCAACGGCGCCGAGACTCGAGTCTGGAAACAGGTACTTCACTGCACTAAAACCTGCTGCTGGAAATGGAATAAGCGTGCACCATGGCATTTAAATAAAAAATAAACCTGAACTGAATAAAATGAAATGAAATGTAAAAAACGAACCTTAAATTAATTTTATTCCAACATTTGTTTTGAAGATTTCAGGAAAAGTTCACTCCTAATGTGTTTGTTTTAGGATTGATATATTGTCAAAAACAGAGAATAAAATTCTAGTTGTTTAATTTTATTGTTGGACAAGCCAGACTTGCAGTTTACTTCACAAAGGAGAAATAGAAAGGAGAACAGACATGGTGTTGAATATAAGTATTTATAATATTTTACAATAATTAATATTGTAATATTTATAGTAATTTACTATAATATTTTTATTTACAATATTTTAGTATTTATAATACAAGTATTTACTAATGAATGAAATGGAGTCTTTTAAATGACAGTGATGTTATAGTAATATCATCTGTGCTGTAATTGAAGGAGAACACATTTTTGATATGTTATTAATTTGAAGCTGTTTGTACATGTGATTCAGTGATTTTGTTTTAAATAAAATTTCTTTCTAAAATCTCTATCTCTAACTAAAACCTGTTGAAATAAGATAAACGTGAACTGAATAAAATAAAATGTAAAAAAACTTATTTTTTGCTTTTATTTCAGCTGCCAACGTTTCTCAATTGTATTTAATTGATCTTGATGTACTAAAATAACAACAACTGAAAAAAAAGAATGAAAACTATATAGATATATTGACATATTTATTTAAAATAAAGCTAAGAAAAATGACAAAAGCACACTACAAAATTACTAAAACGTAACTAAAATTAAAAATAAAAAACCCAGAAAATATAAAAATTATTCAAAATATGAATAAAAACTAAAAACACACAACAAAATTACTAAAACTCAAACTTAACTAAAAAATAAATAAAAAAATAAATAAAAATAATTCAAAATATTAATAAAAATTATTATAGTAGCCTATCTCAATGCATTCTATATGTTTTTGAAAGATGTCTATTATGCTCACTTATGCACCAATTTATTTGATCAACAATAAATTAAAAACAGTAATATTGTGATAATATTACAGTTTAAAACTGTTTTTTTTTTTTGTTAATTCGTTTCTTAATATGTTTTCAAATGTAATTCATGTGATGGCAAAGCTACATTTTCTCACACACACACACACACATATAGTAGTATCACCATGGTACAAATCCAAAGAATGTGTGCATATATATATATTTTTCACAGTCCATATGACACTAAAGGTTCAACAACCGGTTTCTTCTTCAGAGATATTTCGTGAATGACACCTTCTATAGACCCGGTGGTCCGGTCTTCCTGATGATCGGGGGTGAAGGTCCAGCAAACCCCGCCTGGATGCAGTACGGAACCTGGCTGCTTTACGCACAGAAACTGGGCGCCTTGTGCTTGTTACTGGAGCACCGATTCTACGGGAAGAGTCACCCGACAGAGTGAGTGAAAGAAAGAAAGAGCGAGCTTAACAAGGCCATTCAGGTTTATGAACACTAGATGGTGCTACAAGCCAGTAACTACACAGCTGTTCTTTTCCCATGAGGATATCTATCTATCTATCTATCTATCTATCTGTCTGTCTGTCTGTCTGTCTGTCGGTCGTTCTATGGTTCTGTCATTGATTATTGATTGTTCTGCTTTGTGTTTCAGGGACCTGAGCACTGAGAATCTGCGTTTCCTCAGCAGTCGTCAGGCATTGGCTGATCTCGCTCACTTCCGCACGGTTACCGCAGCGACGCGAGGCCTGACCAATAGCAAGTGGGTTGCGTTTGGGGGCTCCTACCCAGGATCTCTTGCTGCCTGGTTCCGTCTGAAGTACCCGCACCTGGTGCACGCCTCCGTAGCGACCAGCGCACCTGTTCACGCCACAGTCAACTTCCCAGGTGCGTCATGAGGCTAAAGCAGTGAATTATTTTAACATGAAATCATAATTGACTCGATTTACTTTCTGTAAATCTATCTTGTTTTATATCTTGCTCCATTTTCTGAATCTTTTTTCCTATTTGACTTTCCAACCATCCGTCATCTAAAGATGCTTTTCAGCATTCAATCAATTCTTGGATAAAATTGAGAAAACAACTTCTAAATTCAACTCTATAATTTAGGTACTTGTTGAATGTTCTGTTTTTGCTCAGAAATACATCGAATTCTGCAATTAAAATGGATCACACACACTGTCAGTTTCTGTTATCTTGACTTGTCTACCTTTTTAGGCTTTTAACCATGAAAAATCACTGTAACATGCTGCCTTTATTTATAAAATGGCAGAAATATTAAATTATTTACACTACTGTTTAATAAGATTTTTTAATGTTTCTGAAAGAAGCTTCTTCTGCTCACCAAGGCTGCATTATTTGATCAAAAATACAGTAAAAACTGTAATATTGTGAAATATTATTACAATTTCAAACAACTGTTTTCTATGTGAATATATTATAATAAAATGTAATTTATTCCTGTGATCAGAGATGAATTTTCAGCATCATTACTCCAGTCTTCAGTGTCACATGATCTTCAGAAATCATTCTAATATGCTGATTTGCTGCTCAAGAAACATTTCTGATTATTATCAATGTTGAAAACAGTTGTGCTGCTTCAGATGTTTGTCGAAACAGTGATGAATTTTATTTTTCAGGATTCTTTGATGAACAGAAAGTTCAAAAGAGCAGCATTTATTTGAGTTGGGAATCTTTTATAACATTTTATATAAATGTCTTTACTGTCACGTTTTATCAATTTAAAAAATAATAATCTAAACCTAGTTACAACTTACTGCTTGAGCAGTACACAATGAACACAAAAGGAATGTTTAAAATCATATTTACTTAAAGGTACCAATATAAAAACATCAGCATTATACAAAAAGTGCAATCTTCCTACAAAAAGCTGTGGTTGTTGCAACAACAAAGAAACATTAGAATAAGTCAAAAGAACAAGAATTTATTTGAAATCTTTTGTAACATTATAAATGTCTCTACCGTCAATTTTGATCAATTTAATGTGTCTTTGATAAATAAAAGTATTCATTTATTTAAAAAAATCTTACTGACCCAAGACTTTTGAATGGTAGTGTAAATATTACAAAAATATAAAGTAGTATAAATGCAGTTTTTACTTGTCTCTGTCGCACCTTATTTCTTGTTTCCAGTCTGCTTTTCTTGTCTTGTTTGCTCTTTCCCTCTGTTCCTCAACCCCCCCGTCTCTTTCCTCCATGTTTCTGAACAGCTGGATGTCACCATGACGTCCGAACCACTTTAAAGCAGGACCTCTCCCTGACCTACAGCTACACACACACACACACACACACACACATGAATCACCAGTCATCATGACTGAGGTCTGCCGAGGGTGTTTATTATGTCTGTTGGGTCATATTTAAAACAACGCCCCCATACAGACATTAAAAAGAAAAATAAATCAAGGGTTAATTATGGCGATGAGCAACTGTCTCTGCAGTGGAGACACGAGATACATGTGTTTTGCCTGTTAGAAGAATCCCAGAGCTCTCCGTCTGTGTGGTTAGATGACGTGAATGACTCCATGTCTGTCGGTGCAGACGTCAAACTCCGTGACTGTGGTCTGTCCTGCAGTGAGCATCGCTCCTCAGGATAGTGATGTCGCACTGACCACTTTCACAGCATTTCATTGTGAACGGCTCTTAGATCATTGCAGTGCTAGAACAATAGCTTCTCACATTGTGTCCTCTCATCTCATCGCATTGTTTGTCTGTTGCCTGAAACGATGCTGGATCTTCTCGGTTTGCGCTGGTCATTTCTGTGAGACATGCATGATTATGTTGACCGCTGTTTCTGCTCTCATCCAGTCATCTGAGGCTTTGATAATAAGGCGTTTGGTTTGCAACATTACTTTTAGACCATGTCTAAAAACACTAAACTTCAGCCTAAAACGTGTGCCATGAATGATTCCTTAAAGGAATAGTTCACCCAAAAATGAAAATTAGCTGAAAATGTCCTCACCTACAGGCCATCCAAGATTAGGATGAGTTTGTTTCTTCATCAGATTTGGAGAAATGTAGCATTACATCACTTGCTCACCAATGGATGCTCTGCAGTGAATGGGTGCCGTCAGAATGAGAGTCCAAACAGCTGATAAAAACGTCACAATAATCCACAAGTAATCCACACCACTCCAGTCCATCAGTTAATGTCTTG